AAGTAGCCCCAGTTGACTGTACTTTGCCTTTCTTTTTGCCCCGTGGTAAGTATTTCCGGTCTCCCAGTTGAGGTTCATGCAGTGGGTGTGCATTGCTATCCCCTAACAAAGAACCAGACAGTAAAGGAGAGGATCAGCAGGCAGTGTTTTGGGCAGAAATTTAGACCCTTCCTGTCTTTTTGTTTTGGAATTGAAGTTCGGAGCAAGCTGAAGTATTTGAGCGCCCAACTGGCTCCTTCATCGGGGCCCTTTGAAGTTTCCCGTCGGCTGGTCTGATAATAGTTCCTTTACGGCCTTCAGGACTTCTTCCTCTGACCTGTTAGCAGATCTCCTTTTTGGACACTGGGCTCTGAACTGGGCGATGGCATCAGGAGACCAGTGGACTGCTTTAGTCTGCTAGTTTCTAGCTCGTGTGTCTCCTCTGGGTCCTATTCACCCAAATGTGTCTTATGGGTTGCGCATAGGCATTTTCTTACCTTTGTACCAATTTCTCTGTGGTGCTCTGGCTCTGATTTTTCTCTTCTAGAAGAGCTTTCTCTTCCTGCACAGCTTGAATCAGTTCTGGGTACTTCAACTCACCTGTAGTATGTTCAGGTAATCAAGGGCCGCACAGTCTTGCTGGCTGAGTTTCAGATTTCAAATAGCTTCTGAGGGAGGTCCCTTTAAACTTTCGGTGATTCTCTGTTTCTTCTGCACTTCAGGGATGTCCCATTCAGCCAGAGCCTGCATTGCTTGTTCAACCCACTCTTCAAAAGTTTCCTCACCATCTAGTGTTGGCAGGTTTCCTGAACAAATTCTCAATCTTCGGTACCCAAAACTGGTGTAAGGAGGGTTGTTCTTCTGGCATTTTGACACAAGGTTTCCAATTGTGATGATGAACTCTGGTGCTATTGTGGCCAGCGGGCTTGACAGGGAGGCACTGTAAGTCGATGTCACTTGGCTTGTGCTCTCTGGGTTGTCAAGTGATCCGTTCGCCTGGATTAAATGGGCTTCCACATCACTGGTCAGTTGTACACTCACGCTCTGGAAACATAAAGGACTACCTTTCTTTCACTCTAAAAGAACATTGGTATGAGAGATACGCTGGGTTCACTTTAGTGTCTATTATTAACCCTTGCCAGTCAGGTGCCAGTGCTGTCAAGGCTTGAGGGCTCTGTTCCTCTGTCCATGTGTCAGCAGTAATGTCCATTGCTATGCTCAGCCCTAACTGGCTGCTATGTTCTTTATACCACTCTGCTGTTGTGTTTGGATCCATACTGCTGTCTCGTTTGTGCGGTTATCACTCTGCTTAAGAGATCAGGAGAAATCCCTGACGTGTAGCGCTCACCCCGAAGGAGCCTCTGGATAAACAGGTTCTTGTGTTTCACCTTGGTCTTGATAAACCACTCAGGATGGATCCACAGCACACCATCACACCTTGTGGGAGGTTTTATATCAAATCTAATAAGTAATTAAATAACTAGGCAAATTCAGCAAAGATTGGTTAGGATTAACTTGAATAATGACAACTGAATAAATCAGATTTCACAAACCCTCCAGAAATAACACACAACATATATCAATGCAATAACGGTATACATATGCATCAATGTGCACCTATGTGGGTATAATTCAATAATAGCCACTGCACCTACAATCCTATCACTTCTCCAGCCAAACTGACAGTTCCCGAGGATCAGTCCCAAGTTAACTCATACACTGCAGGATAGGGTCTGTATGTTGCACAGGCCTGTGTGTGTAAATCGTTGGAGTGCTCTTAGGATAGTGACAAGTCACTGGCTGCTCACCATATCTAGGCAGAATAGTCACCAGAGGTGGCCACAAGCATCCTCTGTGATTGTCAGCGGGTTAGAGGCAGAAGTCTGTATGCGAGGTAGCCACCCATACTAAGGTGCTCCTATCCAAGTAGGAATGTTATACGCTCACCTTGGAGTAGTGGCAACCATGACAGATAGGCAGGGTATCCAAATCGGCAGGCAAGTTCGTAGTGTAAACGTAATACCAGATCAGGGCAGGCAGCAATACAATCGAGGTCAAGTAACAAAGCGAAGGGTCAAAATACCAGGAAGTCTTACGAAAGGTAGGTAATTAACTAGAGGCAAAGCTCTGCAATAACCAAGCGCCATTTTGTGGAGGAAGTTGGTATTTATAGGCACAGGAGGAGAAGGGGGCATTGACTTCACTATTACAGGTGAAACTCGAATAATTAGAATATCGTGCAAAGTTCATTTATTTCACTAATGCAACTTAAAAGGTGAAACTAATATATGAGATAGACTCATTACATGCAAAGCAAGATAGTTCAAGCCGTGATTTGTCATAATTGTGATGATTATGGCTTACAGCTCATGAAAACCCCAAGAACCCCAAATCCACAACCTCAGAAAATGAGAATATTACATGCAATCAATAAAACAAGGATTGTACATAGCACAATATCGGACCTCTGAAAAGTACAAGCATGCATATGTACTCAGTACTTGGTTTGGGCCCCTTTTGCAGCAATTACTGCCATTACTTTTGCACAATATTCTAATTATTCGAGTTTCACCTGTATGCACTGTGTCTGCAACAGCATACACAGTGTGTGCACATTTCCCTAACAATATACTGTTGTCAGCAGCAGGGGGCACCAGAGGTATTACATGATCTACTGAGCTCTGCTGAGCTCACATCCTTGCTATCATCCTTGCTCAATGCCCGGCAGCGTGGGACCCGAAGCAGCAGCAGGCTCATGGACGTGACATGCTGGCTGTGCCCAGCTTTCTGATCCCTCTCTCTCTGCAAATGAGAGATGATGTTGCCGGGGGTAACCATTATCACTGGTGACTGATACCGCCGATTACTGGCTGCCACGGATGTCTGTCTCTGCAACTCCCACAAGTCTGTGTGCTCCCATAAACACTTTAGCATTGCTGAAAACTGAGCCAATTAAGTTTCTGTTACAATATACAGTCTTAAAATGGCAATGCTCTAAAAAGGGCAATGGCTATTAATCCCGCTACACAATAATTATTGCTTTGGCGTGTTGGACCCTCATGCTTGAAAGTGGTCATTCCAAGGTAATGGTATCTTCATCCCTCTTTTGACAAGTATAATGCTGGACTGTGGTCTGGTCTGTAAAAAATGGCTGTTTTTTATCACAGAAGTTCAGTTCTGATGATGGCAGTGTCACCTGACACTGCCATCCCTGTGATAACTGACCTTAATAGTAACCACCACTATGTCCCTATAGGGGAGACTACGCCTTACTTCCTGCCCCTCATCTCTGGTGCAGAATACGAAATTTCTTCAACAGCGACACAAACAGCAATAAAAACCCTTTTTCAGTAGAACGGGGAAGGTTTATAAATACTGCTAGTTATTTTTATTGCTGTCTGTATCACCTGTGGGAATTCTCCTCACTTCCTGTACTAGTGTGTTTTTTTGGGTATCCCAGGATATCACTGCACTTGGAAATGAGAGTAAATCTTCACAATGGAGATACAGACCCCAATTAAAACTTAAAGTAGAAATAAAGGCCAAACTATATACCAACTTTATTGTCTGTGCATTGTTTCTCAATGCCTCTCGTACATTTTCTAAAATATCCTTTATCCATTATCTAAATACCTTTATTTAATGCTTCTCTTTGTGGCCACAAAGCTTCAGCTTTAACTCCTCTTTAAACGGCTACTGCGACAGGTGGAAGTAAACTTTCTCCATGCCGTCAACTCCTTAGGCTGGGTTCACACCTAGGCGTATCGAATATGCGCGTTTGTCGCGCGTTTCATGTCGCGCGTTTTTTCCGAGGGCTACCTGGCTGTATTCCAATGGATACGCGCGGCAAATACGCCCCAAAGAAGCTCCTGTACTTCTTTGGGCTTAGGGCGTTTTGCAACGTGTTCCTACGTGCTGTAAAACGCCCAGATGGGAACCATGCCCATAGGCAATCATTGGTTTTCACATGTTGAGCGTTTTACAGAGCGTAAAATGTCCAGGTGTGAACCAGGCCTTAGAGCAGTGGATGCCAGAAAAGATAGAACATTTTTTTTTTAGCAAAAAGGTATTGCATTTTATTATTAATTGGGCAACGAGGAGCACTAGGGAAGCAACATTTAGGCCTCACACACAGGCAAAATGGCAATACTACGTGCAGATCGTGCTTATTTCTCGCATAGCTGCTTGCAGCTGGTTTGTAGAAATCAATGATAGGCTGTGGCTTCAACCTTTGTGACTTTTCCTTCTAGTTTAACAATAGTTTGTTTCCATTTCCCACTCCTACCATACACACCTAACCTTCTTACCCTTTTCCGCCCTGTTCAAACAGAAACTTGGTTTCCCTGGGTTTTAAGAGACCCTCCTTGCTTAAAGGAGAACTATGGGGTCAGGGCTTTTCCCCATAGTTCTCCTTAGGTTAACGGGAGGACACAAACTAGCGTCCTCCCGTTACCCTAAGCTCAGTATACCGCGAGCTACGGCTCGAAGTATACTAAGACGCCGCAGCCGGAGCGGATCCCGACATCGATGTCGAGATCCGCCCAGCTGCAAGATTGACAGCTGGCTCTGCCTATCTAGAGGCAGAGCCAGCTGTACACGCCCCTTCCCCCGTCCGTTCCGTCAGTCAGCGCTGGGAGATCGGAGCGGGGAATTCAGCCCCTCCCCTGTCACGGCAGAGAGCCGTGACAGGATCGAGAGTTGAGCGGACGCCGGTATATGTTAGCTCACCTCCTGATCTACTGAGTCGACCTGTGACAGTCTCATTGTCACAGGTCGGCTAGAACTATTCGGTGAGTGAAAAGCACTCACCTCATAGTTCTACTTTAATACAGCTATATGCTGATGCATGGCAGGCATGTACTGTATATGCCTTTATTTATGAGGCCTGTTTATTTCTAGCAGACGATTAACAGTGCAATAATCATCTTATATGACAGAAAAGCTCTAATGCTAACTTTTTCAAATATCACAAATACCTCTGTCTTGTTTTATATGATGTTGCATTTTTCTTTTCCTTGCAGGTTCAGTAACAGATAAGCCCTCAAGCCAGGGTAACTCAGGCAAGAAAGGTGAGTGAAGTTCTATGATGTGCTGTGAATTGTCAGTCCACAGCAAACCTATTTCCGTATAAATTTATGAACATTTTAAAATATAAATATATTCTATCATGGGCAGATCTATCACCATAACAGGCTGTGTGTCTACCACAGGGGCCCTACAGTATAGGAATCTCAGTGCATCCTGAATGAATAGCAGTTTTTCTGGACAGCAATGGCATATAACAATCTATGATAAGAAAATATATAAATAAAAGTGCCTTGCACTATGAAAATATTTGGCATAACATGGGGCTATTGAATACTTTAGAAAGTTTGTGCATTTAAAATGGAATTTGGAAATTCAGGGACCTTTCTAATAAATTTGAATCTACCTTTACTATTTTTTATCATTTATATTTTCTAATCAGATGAAGTCACTTCATTATAATATAGATTACTGTGATTTACAATGATCTCAGTTACTATCCTAACACAGATTGCCCACATAATTCAGTATCCTGTGTATTAGGGAGACATTTGCCTACTGCTGTAAAAATCTAAAGGTCCAATATATCAAAAAATACTATATTCTAGTATCCATATGTGGTTAATACTTGTAATAATAGTGTTCAGTATATGTATCCTTTTTTTATTTTACAGGCGTTTACTTATAATTTTCTACACATACATGCAGGCCAAGCTGTTCAGCAGAAGTAACAGTTACAGTGATTGTGACAAACTATATAACACAGGGTGCTTACGATGGTTAGCTTTTATTCATAAACTCTAAACCTTTAAGACGATCATGTTCATAAGGTGATAATGCTGATGCACATTTTCACTGCAGAGCACACAGCGTTGTCACCCTGTTAAAGGAGAGGGAAAAATAACATATCTAGTCAGGTTTAATAGGTACTAAAACTATGTTACAGGATAACTGCTGTTGTTAATGCTAGTGATAGACACACAGTATGCTGTTTTAAAATGTCACGTGGCTTGGTAGCTGTGTGACAGTCTGTTTGTGTGGAATCGCCAGTCATATAATACTGACAAATGGCAGTGGGACATGTATAGCTAAGAATGTGATTAAACGAGTTTAAAGTGGACCTCTCAGTAACATTACAAGTCTTCATGGAAACATTCTTAAAATGTCAATAGACAACAAGAGTGCATTTTTATTTTACATTTTCTACCCTTTATCAATAAAAAGCCAGCGTTGAGTCAAGTGACTTTGCCTAGGCTCAGTCTGCTACAAGCAGGACGACACATTTCCTCTTCTCCCCCAGTGATCAGACTGCATCATTGTAACTTTGCAGTAAGTCTCACAAAACATTCACATCTCCATCTCAGATAGATAGACATATACTGTATATAAAAAAAACACACAGTATGCAATAGGGGGGCTTAAAAAAAAGCATATAGGACACTTTTCAGATGGCACAGTCCTCTCAAAACAAGCTGCACCTAATTCATGAAAACTTTGCAACAGTTTTGGTTGCAGTTCAGGGCCATCTTTAATGTGAAGCAAAAGGGCCAGTTGCCCTGGGCCCAGTCATTGTTGTGGGGCCCAAACAGGGCCGTCTCTAATGTAAGGCTGCATAAGCAGCCATCTGAGGGGACCGGGGGGGTTGAAGGAGGAGGGTAGGGAAACAATGCACCTGTGTCGCACCTTGCAGTGGCCCTGAGCCCCACTTCTCCATGCTCAGGTGTCGCATTCCACCAGTTGCCTGACCATCAAAAAAATGGCCGCCACCCCCATCACATGACCCAAGCCCGCTCTCTCTGTTGCATGTTGTGGGGGCTGCTCACCTTCTGGCCCCGCCCCTTCAAGCGCTGCTGTCAGTGAGTGGATGTCGGAAGGGAGAGCAGGAGGCTGGGACGTGATTGATGGCGGTGAGACCGTGGCAGGGTGATGGGGAGAGGGCGGCCATGCGGCTGGAGATGCAGATCAGTGTGAGGTTGGAGAGGAGATGGGAAGGAGCTGCGGCTGCTGGAAGGTGAGGGAAGGGGCTTTGATGGGGTCACATAACTTGCCTGTGTGCTGCTTCTCTGACCTGTCATTACACCAATGCTATATACAATGCATCATTACACCTGTTACTGCCCCCTCCCCCCCCATAATATATACAATGTATCATTACACCTGTCACTACCCCCATGCTATATACAATTTATCATTACACCTGTCTCTACCCCCATATTATATACAATGAAGGGAATTTATCAAAACTGGAACAGACAAGATCTGGAGCAGCTGTGCATGGCAACCAATCAGCTTCTCTATTTCATTTTCAAATCTTAACTGAACAAACTGAAGAGAGAAGCAGATTGGTTGCCATGCACAGCTGCTCCAGATTTTGACTGCACCAGTTTTGATAAATTCACCCCAATGTATCATTACACCTGTCAGCAAGAAATTGTTTGCCCAGGGTCCATTCACTATTAAAGATGGCTCTGTTGCAGTACCAACATGGGCAACAGATTTAGGTAATTCTTATTAATTCCACTTTAAGAACTTGTTGCTATGGTTGCAACAGATTACAAAAGAATTACCACCAGTTTACAGATTAGGAAACTGGCAGTAATGAATAACTCTGATCTATCTGTGAAGGTTCTCATTCATCCAGGTCATGGTAGATCTGTAAAAAATAAGTCAAGCCAACTGGACTTGCTGTATTTTTCTTGAAGACGTTTCACTGGTCATCCAACCAGCTTTCTCAATTCAGAATTACTTGTACAAAAAAATATCTGGGAATAAATATGGTGAATGTTGCTCCAATCCACATAATCTGTTAGTCACAACCAGGTGTTGATTGCATTTGCATAATTGGAGTCTTAGAATCCTTTCAGTATTTCCCTTTGTTAAGTATTCTTGTTAGCATGTTCTCCCCATTCAGGTAGTATGCTCCTCAAGTGCATTCATACTTGTTAGTATATTCTCCCCATTCAGGAAGTATGCTCCACAAGTGCATTCAAGTACCTTAACTAGTAACAAAAATGTAGCTTATTTTGTGCAGTCAGCTGTAGATCATCAAATCATTTCTGAATTCATGCTGACAGTGTCCTTCTTTCTGGAGGGTGGCTACTTTTGTTCCCCATGGTCCCTGTGTGTGTTGTAAAGTAGCCACCGCTCCAAGTTTGCGCCAATGATGGACTACAATTTTACGTTTAGTTTATTAATTTGTATTGAGAGTATAGTCCATCAAGGGAGCGAGATGGGAACGGTGGCTACTTTACAACACAAACAGGGACCATGGGGAACAACCATAGCCACCCTCCAGATGGAAGGACACTGTCAGCACAAATTCAGTGATGATTTTTGGATCTACAGCTTAGTAATCCACAGTAAGTTACATTTATGTTAATAGTTAAGGTAATTGAGGGCATTTTTAAGATTTAAAGTGGACCTTTACCCCTTTTTACTAAAAATAACTCCCTGCATGCTTATTTAACCGCTTGAAGACCAGGTGTTTACACCCCCTTCCTGGCCAGGCCATTTTTCAGTATTCAGTGCTGCAGTACTTTGACTGACATTTATTCCGTCATGCAACGCTGTACTGAAATTAATTTTATACCATTTTTTGGGGACACATAGAGCTTTCTTTTGGTGGTATTTAATCACCACTGGGGTTTTTATTTTTCACTATATTTAGGAAAAATTACTGAAAATTTTGAAAAGAAAATTTATTTTTTTTACATTATTTATTATTTTTACCCAATTTTTTGGTAAAATATAAAAGACGAGTTCGCATCGGGTAAATGGACACCAAACATGTCAAGCTTAAAAATTGTGCACACCTGCAAAATCGCACAAAACTACCATATCCAAAATTGCCCATAGGCGACGCTTTAAGAGATTTTACCGCTCATCAGTTTTTAGTGTTATCAGCGATTGACGGCCGTAAAATTATTTCTCTGACTGCGATGTTCGCAATCGCCGTTACGCATGTTTGCATGAGTGTATGTATGGGTGGTGACTTTAAAACATTTTGTTTTATTGAATTCTTTTTTATGTGACTTTTGTAATTATTATTATTTTTTGGAAACTTTAATTTTTTTTCCTTTTTTTTTTTCCCCCACTTAACTTTATTGCTCTCAGATAGGGGGCTAAGAAACCCCCTATATAAATCGCTTCTCAGCCTTTTGGCTAAGATCAAGTGTAGTATCTGTTCTTATCAGTTGTTGGAGGGGAAAGGATGCTGCTGCCCTATGGGAGAGCATTTGAGTACCCTCTGGCGTAATTGGTGGGTGTCAGAGGACGGTTCGTTCTGCTGCTGGTTGCGTCAAGCTCTGAGGTTTATGGGTAGACCCCAGACAGCAGAAGGACCCCCGATGGCACTACCTTCTGGTAGGAGCAGAGAATCACTTGGTCTGGCCGGAGGGTAGGGAGGCGGCAGAGCCTGTGGTGTTGTGCCCCCTGGGGGTGGCGTGTGACAGGTCCTCGTTATGGAGACATCATGGGTCTCCAAGACCCCTAATGTCACCTAGGGACCCCCAAAGAAGCTGATGAAGCAGAGATCTGCTTCATCAGCTTCTCTCCAGCGTCTGAAGCTGGAGAGTGACACAAGAATGCGGAAGTGATGTAATATACATCATTTCCGCATTCTGACATCGGAGAGGGGACCGGAGGGAGATCGGTACACGATCTCCTTCTGATCCTCTGTGACAGAGGCACTCTGCTGGTCCCTAGGTGGGCGCAGCTGAGCGGACATCTAAAGACGCCCACTCAGATCTAGAGAGCTCCCGGACGGCCGTTTTTTTACAATGGCCGGCCGGGAGGTAGTAAAAATCACCTTACATTCACTAGTTTAAAAAACTTGTTTTTCATTTACTTACAAATAGAGTTCATCTACTTCCTGGTCAAGTTATTGCACAAATTATCTAAGTGTCAAGGTTTTGCATCTTGGGAAGGTTACATCATCAGAGCATTGATGGGAAATCTCATCTGTAATCTCATGAGATCTTAGGGAAAGGCATTTTCCTCCCCTGAGATGATGTGCATGGTCACATGTGCTAGTCACATGTCTAGT